GGATCTAGGATGGTTAATCCAAGCCTTGGTCAGAAGACAGGTCCAAGGTTGACATCAGGCTGAATCCGGGTAACAGCCCGGAAACACAGGACAGGAAAAACAGAGCAGAAACAGGGTTGGCTGAAATTTAGAAGTCCTTGGACAAAAACTGGTCAGGAACACACAGAAGTAAACACCGGGGACGCTAGAGTTAGTCTCACTTGAAGCAAAAATAATCTGGCACCAGAGGCTGGGATAGAAAGGCATATATAGTAGCAGGAACAGGTGGATCTGATGAGAGACAATGAGCACAGGGCGGAGCAAAGGAGATTTGAACATCCTCAGAACTGGAAAACGCAGCCTAAAGGTGCCAAGATCATAACAATAGAATTTCACTAACTACTTGACAGGTGCAGGGAGGGATTCTAACACACAAGTAGACAGTTTTCCAAAAGGTTTGTTGAAATAACCTTGAACTAAAGAAGTCTGACTACTTACCAAAACATCTAACGCTGAAAAAGAGCTTCTAAGTTATCAGTAAGACTCACATCTAACCTTGTCGAGCAGGTTTTTTGCTTGAGCAATACTTTTGCGCAATAAAGGAAAATAAGACAAGCCCACAATGTCAATTATTAAGCTCCCCTCCACCCTGGGTCAGATGGCGACACAATTTTTCTATGATAATGGTATTGTGTTTCTCTCACCTAAGTAATGCTGCTCAGGTAGGGCTAAACGTTTGATTGTCCTCACCTACAGAAATCCTGATCCCTGTTCCAGCTGTCATCAGCATTTTTAGCACTCAGATGGAGCAAAAAACTGCAGTTTCTGTCAGAGACTTGTTGTGTATCTTTGCGGGATACAATTATACTTAGTGACAGTACAAAAGGCATTATATAGAGACTGGGCTGTTTTTTTAATCTGAAGGACATGACTAGCATGCATGTCCAGGGCTACACCGATATGGTAAGGTAGGTGCAGCGGTAGAGGTAAATAAACAGACAATCCTGCTGTACAGCTTTAACTGCTTGCAAAACACTTCACCCGTAATACAGTATTTAGTACTCAGATCTAAACATCTTACGAGAGCAGAATAGAAATGGAATTAATTGCTACTGAAGCAGTTAGGGAAAGTCAAAATTGCCACCAGTTTATTTTATTTTTTTTATAAATGTGAAAATGTTATTGTTATTAGCAATGCATACATCAAATGAATTGAAATATTTTTCTATATAAATAATAATAAAAAATATCTATATTAAAGATATTAACAGGATTTTTATTGATCTGTTACTTTACAAATAATTTTTTTTTTCCGTTTTCTTGTAAAAGGTCACTTAAAAATTTGCATTTTTAGGCATGACTTTGGCAAATTTCTGTTTCAAAAATTACATTTATACTCCCCCTTGGACACCCAGATGTTAAAGGGGACGTAACTGTTTGCCGATCACAACTTTGCGTTCCAGGGCCCCTTTACTAGGGACCAACCAGTCACTGTACAAGCATAGCAGGAGTCTGGTCCTCATTCCCCACATGTGAACTATTCCCAGTGCATATTGAACTCCAACAGGGCTGCTCTCTGTTAGTGGTCCTGTCCATGACCTCCATGGAAAGGATTTCTAGGTGCAGCGAAGGGCTGGAGGGACTCTGGTTTGAACAAAACAGATTTTGTGTCAGCTCTTTGCAGTTCACATGGTCCTGCTGGCTTTCACCGTCTTTTGACTTTTAGCATGCGTTGAAATGGTTTACAGCTGAATACGAAGTACTGGAATGTATACTAGGGTGGCCAGATGTCCGGCTTTAGGGCGGACAGTCCGGATTTTCATTGCACTGTCCGGCGTCCGGCGCTGCACCCAGCCGGACGTGTATTTGTCCTCCTTTACCCCCAGATTCCACATACTCCGTCAGCGCTCCGCCCCGCTCACGTACGGAGTACTTGTCTGTCTTGTAAATCAATGAGAGCTGTTCCACATCCTCCGCTCGTCACCGCCCACGTACGTCTTCTCCGTCCTTCACCGTCAAAATACGGAGCTGAGCTATTTTTTGCTCCCCTCCGGTCCGTCCAGATCAAGACCCGCTATTGCAATCGCAACAAACAGAAAAAAGAATGTAGAGAAGACCCGGTTTGTCAAATTAAATTATAGTAAAAACAGATCGGTATCTAGAAATTAGAGCATAGTTTGTATATATTCCCAAAAACTAAGAGCAATTAATTAAATAATTGGATGCAGACTATTGGTGCTTCAACAGACCAGGAAGAAGTTGTGAGATTCTAGAGTGAATCTCACAACTTTAAAAGAAAATTCTTATTGCAGGAATGGATGAAGAGATGATGAGTTTGGAAGCAGAGAATAAACAGAGTTCATACAAACTATGTATGATCCTAGTTATCCCTGTTACAAAAATCCACAACAGAAAGAAAATATTTGGGCAGAAACTGAACATCTGCTGGATGATGATGGGGATTTTTTTAATATGTCAGATTAAATTAAGCGTTCACAGGTTTTATACAGGAATGAGGAACTCTAATTTAATGCTCTTTTAATGCTATTAGAAATAATTTTAATGCCATCAATATTGCCATCAATTATTAGTTTACATGAAATAAGGAGCTGTAAGCACAGTTCCATGACTCAAGTTTATATATATATATATATATATATATATATATATATATATATATATATAGATAGATAGATATATAGATAGATATGGATAGATAGATATATAGATAGATATGGATAGATAGAGAACATGGTGAAATCATCTTTACTCTCGACAGGCTGCAGCCATGTCATGAATTCCTCTTTTCCAGCCACTTTTTGCAGTTTGCATTGTCCTATTCTCTAGCTCTTTCTCGAGCTTCTTTTCCAAACAACTGCTTTATGATCAATTGCAGCAGTTCTGCGCAAATTAATTGTGTTAAAAAATGGTCACTTTTTAAACACCACAATGTATTAAATAAATACAAATGCTGGGAACCAATTCTTTTTTACATTTCTTTAATATTTTGTTCTATTCAGCTACACAAGCATCCTCTTTAAACTACTAAGAATTGTGCTATAAATGTGACTTTACCCGATTCTTATGTACACCTTAGTAATTTATTGATATGCCACACAATGTCCTCCTTTTTGGTGCTATAGAAATGGCCACCCTAATGTATACCAACTCCTCCAAGTCCAGGTTATTGGTTCTCGATCAGAAAAAGGGGGTTGGAGTCTCCAGCTTGGAGGAGTTTCTGCCTCAAGTAGAGGAATTCAAGTATCTTGGGGTCCTGTTCAGAATGAGGAGTTAATGGAGTGGGAAGTCGACAGATGGAACAGTGCGGATGCCACTGTAATGCTGATGCTAAGCTGTTCTAATAAAAACCAAAAAGCAAAGCTTTACTGGTGGGTCTACATTCCTACCATCAGCTATCGTTATCAAATCTTGATCATGACCGAAAGAACAAAATCAAAGATACAAGTGGGTGAAATTAGCATTCTCATCATGTGGCTGGGAATTCCCTAAAGCCGGGCGTACACTGTGCGATTTTCAGGGCGAGTTTCGAATCGTGCGAGAATCTTTCAATCGTGGGTTGTGAGTCATGTAGTGTACAGGGGGTTACGAGCGGCGATCAGCCTCTCACGACCACCTCCCAATCACGAATTGTAAAGTCGGGGGAAAATCAAACATGTTTGATTTTCTCCCGACTGTCGTGGGCAAGCTGCTCAGTTCGCACGCGCAAACAAGGATTCTTCTTTAAACACAGAAGCGTGGCCGGGGTGCAATGAGTGAAATGCAGTTCTGTCTATCAAATTGACAGACTGTAGTAGCCACGTTTGCTCAGCCATGTCTTTTTTCCAAATACGTTGTCGCCTTTTCTTTTTGCGGCTTTCAGCACAAAATTGCACAAATTGCCAAGGCAGCGCATTTCACTAAAGTAAGCTTCATATTCCCCTTCTATTTGTTTGGCTTCCAGATAGACGAGTCAGAGCAGCTCCATCTCACTGCGGAGCTGAGTCAGAAGTGGTTTTTAGTCGTACAGTGTGAGCACGTAGATAGCATGAGAGCGTCGGGCCGAACATAAATCGTGAGCTGTGAATTCACACTGTACGACTAAACCCTGCGGTTTAGTTGTACAGTGTGAGCTGTAGCTGCATGCAACAACTGAAAAAAATGTACAGTGTACACCCGGCTTTAGAGATAAAGTTAGAAGCTCGACCCACCTGGCATGGATTTAAAGTAATGCCACCTTTCCTCCTCATTACTCAGGTGTCTTCAACGGTCCTCCCCTCTGGAGGGGTTTCAGGCATGTCCCACTGATCCAGGGGATGTTGATCAGCCAGTAGGACTAAGTGCCTTGGCTCATCCCCCTAGAGGAGCTAGAGAAGGAGTCTGGGGTTGGAAATAATGGGTGTCTCTGTCCCTGCGACCTGATTCCAGGTCAGCAAGAGACACTGGAAACTAGTGTAAGTACGAGTGCACTTCTGCACACCCACCCAATCCCACAAACATAGACACTACCACAGCTGACTAGAGGAAAACAAAATTATTTTGCATGTACAAATCCAACATATAAACATCTTTGTATTGCCAGCACCAGGGTAACTTTCTCATGCTCTCTGCGTCCCTTACAAAAGTGCTGTTTTGGGGTTATTTAGGCAAAATGTCTAATGTAGTGTATCAGTAAATGTGTGTTCTGTATGTTATGTAGTGTATCTCTAGTGTGCTTTCGTCAGTGGGGAAAAACCGACAGACCTTTGTTTAAAGAAGCGATCTGTCCTTCACTAATGAGGAACTGGCTTTCTCCTGCCAGCTGGATGGCAGAAAATGAGACATTTGGGTATTACACACTGACACCAGAGCAAAAGTTTTGTCATCTGTGTTGTTTTTCCAGTCTGCATAACAGAAATTCACAACATATGGAAATGGCGGCTGTGTTCACGTAGCCATCCAATGCAAATCATGCGGTGATCTTATTGCAAGTCTGGGTATCAGTGAGCTTCTAACACCACACAAGCAGTCAAGAAGACAGGAGCAACCTATAAAAACATGTTTTTAATCTTCCTCCACCAGACTATACAAAATAATTTACTAACACCAAAGGGAGGGAAGTAATTTACCGACAAACCCACTCTGTGGTTAGAGTCTTTGTCCAGCAGTTCAACAATTATTACAGTTGCAAGACATACAAATTAGTTAACATACAGAGTCAATATTTGCATTTAAATGCATTGCAAAGAGTCAGAAATATGGATAAAAAAGCTCCATTGACAAATCATATGATCTTTACATGCAGGTCAGTTTCAGATTAGGTTTAGTTTTTTTGTTTCTTTGTTTTTTTAATCCCTTTACAGTCTCAAAATCAACTACATACAGAGGTAGAACATGAAATTTAAACTAACTATTAACAGTTTATCTTTACTTAAGAATCCAAGTACAGTATTCTAGCAGTTTCAAGTAGTTCTATATTTGTGGACATTTTGCTCCTCAGCATTCCTGTGCAACTTGAACAGTTTTTGATTCTTTATACAGCTTCTAAGTTTAACAGCGTCTTTGTCTCAAAGATCACCTCTGCTTTTATTGTCAAGCTTTGACAGTATTTGATTTGACACTTCTAAAAAAAACATCATAAAACTGTATAGATAATAAAAAGCAACCAGAAATATTGCCTTAAAGCTTGATGTGTACATTTTGAAGTGTTTATTAACACTTGCAGAAAGGAAAATTGGCTGAGCAAAGAGCTCCATGCAAATATAAAGAACCAGGTTAATGCATACTATCCAGTTTATCAAGTGGATGATTAAAAATTTTCAGACTTAAGTCAAAGTCACTTTGATTTTCAGTTTTAAAAGTTCTGATATTTCAGGAAGATAATGATGCGAATAGCATCCAAGACAATCAACCATGTTTACTCTTAATAATGAGGTTCTTTTCGATATATCCATCCTTTGTGTCATGAAGGACCTACCAGGAGTGTTTGTCACTGAAAACATTAGGTGGCAGGGAGGACGCTGTAGACTATCAGCTTAGTTGTCCTCTTATGACAATCTGTTCTATTAAATTACTCTTAATAGGCTCTGATTAGTGATAAAAACATCAAATACTGACATATAAACCATTTTTTCTCTTATGCACTAAATGCTTCAAAAACTAAGAGCTTACATAAATTTCAATGTCTATTTCCTTAACCAAGAATATGCATGCTGGTGCACATTTAAGCAATTAATAACATACAGATAAAGGTTTGGGACACTTGCTATGATTTATTAATAGAGATAAGCCAGTATTTTCTTAATTTTACCACTGAATTAAAAGCTGCTACACTGAGAAATAAGAAGAGACTAAAAATGGTTCAAAATCTGAATTGACAAGTCAAAAATTAAAAACTAGAGAGTAATTAGTGAATAAGTACCCCATCAGAATTGATGGAGCAGCTTTTAAACATGTAATGATAAAATCATCATCATTAAAATTTACTGAGGTCTTGCAGCTTCTTCTTTGCTTGCATTCTCTGGAATTTCACAATAATTTTACCACAATACCAAGATTTATTAAAAGAGGATAAATAAAAGGAGTGCAACTAAAATTAACTAAAATTCTGGTGACCTTCTATGTTAATAGTTTGCATTTTAGTGTGTATAGACATCTTCTCTGTCTGAAATTGGTGGATATACCTGAAACTGTTTAATTTGACCACAGCAGCAGAGGAGCAGCCATGTATGACCTCTATCTCCAGCATTAATGGCCACACCACACTTCATAGCATCTGTACTCCAGCCTCAATTACAGAATAACACGCACACTGCATGACCTGAACACTTCTTCTGTAAAAAACAATCCTACACAGAAACAGAGGTGTGATTAAAGCTACATGATTCTGGCTCTTTTTGTAGATGTTCATGTTCTCAAAATCATTGCTTAGCAAAGAAGTAGAAACTCCACTTGCTTCATCAGTAAAAGGCAGCAAAGGTGAAGAGGATTTCTTAAGGAAACTATTCTTCATGTTGAAAAGAGAGCTCAGTTTGTACTTCAAATGCAGCCTTCAGTCTTCTCCATATTAATTTGGGAACCATTGTTTTTTTTTCTTTTGCTTCTACATATGGTATTCCTTTCAAAGGACTCCATAGTCCCTTAGGGACTTCAGCAGCACAGTGTCTCTTATGTCGATGAAAACCTTGCGAATGTTGTTGGTGTCTGTGGCACAGGTGAAGTGTGGGTACAAGGTCTTCCAAGCACGGGTTTCTTTGTTGACGGCCCGCTGCTCATACATTTTCAGGATGTACTGCTTTGCTTGTTCAGCGTTCCGTTTTTCACCTGGAAGATAATGGTAGATATTGCAGAGTGAACACAATGATGTAACGACACAACAACAGGCCCATAAGCAACATTATCTGGGTAGGCCACATATGAAGTACAACACACATTTCTATTGGTGTCGTGTTTAAATGGCTCACCATCAAGTTGTAATCTGGCATGTGTTGGGATATAAATAAGGTCCGGTCAGTCAAACTAGTATCCGGTGGGTTTAAGATGAGTTTTTCACACCATTACATCTGAAGAGAGACGTCCTAGTCCACAATTGCGTAGGGGGCCTGCCAGATGTCAGTGATGGGGTCCCTAAGCAACTTCAGTCTCTGCTTACTGATAGTTATGCCATTGGTAAGACAAAAATAGGAGAGGAAATATCTATGTTTTAATCAGTATTAACCTATGTTTAATATCAAACTGTATTTAATGATGACATAAATAATTTATTTCAGTTTCTCTACATATTAGACACCTTCACCTGGCCTTATTGTTATTCAAGTAATGCTTTACAGATGCTAATCATTGGCAAGACAAGATGAAATAAAATATTTTTTTGTCATTATGAATCTGAAAGACTCTTATCAGCTTCACCAGGACCTCCTGCAGTGTCCCTCTCTCAAGCTTCAGCCAATCAACGACCGCACCCCCTCCTAAGCCAATCATCTTTCAATATCTCCTTCATCTAGCTTCGGGCCTGGCCTCCCTCTAGCACGCCAACAAACTTTCACCCACCTCCACCCCATCTCCTCCCTCACTCTCTGACTAAATTTCATTAAGGCTCCTAAACATGGGGAAATGCTTTCCCAGTTTTAGGTCATCCTAATGCAACAACAGGAAAAGGGTAGAGATAAGCTGAGTTTTCTCCAGCTGGATGGTGCATGGCGTAGTGCAGCATTTTGTGGTGAGCATTGCTGTATAGAAAGAAAACTGCTACCCCTTTTCTCACTTTAAATAAAACATGATTTGACTGCTAAAAGATATGACCCAGGGTCATGAAAAATAAAGATATTCACAGTATGGAAACTAAATTAGTCCCACCTCTCACTTTCCCTGAAGTAACACTGTTTATAGAATTAGAGCATTAGCGTGTTGAAAACCGTTGGATCCAGAGCAAAGTGTAAAGATGAGCTGAGAGGTCATTAGCAACTGTTTTTCACCTAACTAATGAAAATTATCAATTTTGTTTGTTGGCTGTGTGGATGTCTCACATTTTACATCAATAATCTTTTAAAGATATAAAGTCCATCACTCTTTTCATGTATCTGTTAAGTTCTAGATTAGCTTTTCAAGTTTGTTTTTTGGTCATAATCAGATCGTAGAAGGCTGAAAATGTGTGTCAATTTCCAAGGTGTAGTACTAAACAACAGCAACATAAAACCTAAGAGTTGTTTTTCTTTTTTGCATCAATTTCATATGTTATAGATAACTTGTCATTTTTTTTTTTTTTTTTACAATTTTAGTTTAAAATGATTGGGTCAATATTGGGTTATCATGTAGCCATGTCGTTTTTTTTTTTTACCACAGTGTGGTGAATCTCATCCTGGTGGACCCTAACCACTACTTTTTTTTGTTTGCTTTTAAATTTTGAAATTATGTGGTTACATTTAGGACCACATAACTAACTAATCTGAATATTTCATTTCTTGTAGTATTTGTTATTTCTTTGAAGATGGAGTCCAAGGGGACCAGGTTTTCTGAATCTTCAAGTTATCTTTATAAGTAGAGTTTAAGTCTTTCTAAAGGTCCTTTGAAGTTTTTTCTTTTTTTTCCTGAAGACTGTAGTTCCCAGACATTCAGCTTTGAACCCCCAGCTGTCAGTCACACAGAGAGGCACTTCTACTAAGTAAATTAAACTGGGGTACTATTAACAACACATAAAAAATCAATACTACTTTTATGAACTCAGAAGAAATGTGTTATCTCTTCTAACATGACTGGCTTCTACATCTTCAACAGCTAAATATCCTATTCAGTTAGTTGAATTCCTTTTTCCCCATGTGTTTTTTAACCCTGTCCTGCAGGACTATATCTTATTTAAAAACCATGCAATATAATAGTGAATGTCTGTACACCTGTATGACATAATACATTGACATTTGATTAGAAAGTGTTCATGTCTTTCTACATAAGGGTCATAACTACATAGACCCTAGATAAGGAGTAGTCTACTCAGTTACTGGGGGAGAAAGTAATCCTGTATCAAGCAAGTTAACAAACACGTGTGGACAAGATTGTTGGTATCCTTTTGTAATGAAAGAGAAACCCAGAATGGTTACAGAAGTAAGTTGAATCCAGCAAAATTAATAATAAATAAAAATGGAAGGGAAATGAACAGATGGAAATCGGAGATTGCTTTTCAAAAGAAATTATAAAAAAAATAATAAACTGATGAAAAAAGGCACCACTATAAAAGACTGAAAATAATGAGACACGTTAAACCAAGGTGCGTCCACTACTTAGAATCAAAGATGTCTTCAATTATGCAATCAATCATTGAGCCTATATATATATA